TTTTTACCTTGTCTCACCTTGTTTCAGTTGTTTCACCGGGTTAGCCAGCTGAGGCGGTCCTGTGTGATGTCATTGACACTCCGGACCAACCTCCAGGTGGAGCTTTTGACCATTTTGTAAGATGTTTCACTTGCAATGACCCGTTGATGTCATACCTTCCTTTTTCGTTTCTTATTGTTCTGTGTAGCTTAAATACCCGTGGTCCGAGGGCGATTCTTTCCTCAGACTCTTACCCTCTGGACCACAGGTGCGCTCCCCTCTGTTCTTTATATCTGCTCAGACTCTTACCCTCTGAACCATAGTCCTGTTGTTATAAAGCTTCTTTTTGGCACTCTCTCTGTGCCAGTCGCTTCGTTGTCACTGCGCTTAACAGGTGATCCAGTAGCGCATTCCAGAGTGAGTGGCAACAGGGAGAGGACCATGGAGATCAGAGTGGACGAGTTCAAGCGGTTTGGAGGTCACAGAGCCAGTGGAGGGGAAGGGGTGAGCGTGCATCTTGCCAGAGAGACAGGGCTCGCACACAGGGTCAGGCTGCACGTCCGAATCGAGCTGTAGACCAGTAACGAGACGTTCCTTCACCATCTTCTGCACTCCAGCATGGTGGTGATGGCAGAGACGACGATGCCACAGGGACAAGTCAAGAGGGAGAGTAGAAGCGGCACCAGCAGACTGCAAAACAACGGTGGAGGTGGTCCCTTGAAGATATGCGTTGTTGGAACCATCAGGAACGATCGCCATGAACCACACTGCCCCGTCCCGAGAGAAATGCATCGAAGATCCTTCTATTAGCACAGAGAAGTGCTTGTGCTGAGTCAAATACAGCACAGACAGGAGATTACAACCAAGATCAGGGACATGCAGGACGTTTGAGAACTCCACAGACTGCGCCCTCTTGCCTCCAACGACCGGATTGAACACCACAGTCCCAACACCAGCAGAATAGATGACAGACGAGTCTGCAAGACGAATGGGGACGACGAAGGGACGATAGTTGCGAAGCCAGTGACGATGGGGCGTCATATGAGAGGTCGCACCTGTGTCCGCATTCCAATCGAGGTCAGTGACGAGTGAGGGGGCTGTGGATGAAGGGGATGGAGCAGGGGAACGAAAACTTGCATTGCCTGCAAACTGCATGGGACCAAAGGCTTCAGGGGCCTGAACCGAGTGGGCCTGCTGTGGCTTGGACTTCTTCAGCTCCTCATTGATCCTCTTGAAGCACCTGTCATCAGTGTGGCCAGTGGCACCACAGAAGTCGCACTTGTACTGCTTCCTGGGTGGCCTAGAACGTCTGTAGGAGGTGGAGGAAGAGGTGGAGGACGAAGGAAAGGATGCCACAAGGGCCTGTGCAAAGTCTGTGGGATCAGAACGACGCGCACGATTCAAATCCTCGCGCCTGAACGCGTCCTCGAGCTTGGAGCGAGACAAGACGTCCATGAGACTGAGGGAGGAGCGGAAGGTGTCAAACTCGGAGGGGAGAGACCACAAGAGGGCCATGCAAGTGAGCTCCTCATCCTGCTTCTTGAGATCGAAGCCAGAGTCGCGGAGGTTCTTCGGAACGCGCATAGACTCGTCCACACGATGAATGAGGGACTGGAGGGACTCATCGTTGCGCTTCTTGATCGAAAAGAGGTCCTCCATCGCATTGAAACACGATCCAGCAGACTTCTTGTTGAACTGCTCCTCCAGCTTGGTCCAAATGGCAATGGGGTCGTCTTCAATGCCATCCAAGACGCCTCTGAACTGCTCCTCAACTGAAAGTAAGAGCGCACCAGCAGCCTTCTGAGCATTCCTCTTCCACTCTGCCACCTCTCTTGGGTCAGCAGGCTTCTCCTTCGTGCCAATAGGGGCTGTCTCATCGCCAGAGACCAGAAGCCACAGGCCTTTGAGACGAAGCCAGGCCTTGATCTCCTTGGACCAGGAAGGATAGTTGCGATTATTGAGAGGGGAGACAGAAGGGAGAGCGAATGAGGGGTCAGACATGGTGTGGCACGAGTGGCACAAGCAGGGAAAGGTTTTGGAAGCGATGTGGGATGATGGGAAAGGGTGTTGGAAGCGATGTGGGACGATGGGAAAGGCAGGGAAAGCAATGGGGAAGATGTGGCAGCAATGGGGTGTGGCCAGAAAGGAGTGGCACAGCAGATGGGAGACCAGAAAGTGTCGATAAAGCAATGTAGAGCAAAGTCGCTAGAGCGCAGGGCCCATAACCTGTTGAGCGCAGTGACAACGAAGCGACTGGCACAGAGAGAGTGCCAAAAAGAAGCTCTATAACGACAGGACTGTGGTCCAGAGGGTAAGAGTCTGAGGAAAGAATCGCCCTCGGACCACGGGTATTTAAGCTACACAGAACAATAAGAAACGAAAAAGGAAGGTATGACATCAACGGGTCATTGCAAGTGAAACATCTTACAAAATGGTCAAAAGCTCCACCTGGAGGTCGGTCCGGAGTGTCAATGACATCACACAGGACCGCCTCAGCCGGCTAACCCGGTGAAACAACTGAAACAAGGTGAGACAAGGTGAAAACAAAGTGAGACAGTCCAAATGGAGAAAGAAAGCAATATACCCGCTCTGGGAGCGGCTGTAGGGCCGCTCCCAGCTGTAGAGGCGAGTAATCAATGAGTCCCAAAGGTGGCACCCATGTGGCATGGATGCTACACCAACCAGAACGGCCACAAACAACAAGTTTTGCAACCAGATTAAGCTAGACCTTGCTATTTCTACTGAGACCTTGTCCTGTGCCTCAGTTGGGTCATTCAGGGCATTTTCAAGCTGTGCCTCTATATCATCCTCTTCATCACTATCAATGAGGATACCCGTGTTTGACTACATAACCATCCTGTGGGCTCTATATCATGATCATTGAAATAATATGACAAGCACTTTTATTGTGAAAGGGACTGTATACATTATAGGAATAGTATGATTAAACAAAGTAACTTGTATAGTCGGGTGATCATGGAAATACTAAGGCTCAATATAATTCATCTCAAGGGATGCTAAGCCCCCAGTCTTCCACTGTTTCAAGGGCACACTGTCTTCCTCGCCATCATTTCTGTGTGGTGTCTTTGAGGGCCTTGCTTTAAAAGCAGCACGGGAAACCACTTGCCATTTGCACTCTTCTACAGTGGCCAAGAGATTCACCTTCTCTTGCCCTAGTAGGAATGCAAAAAAGCCATATGGTCCATATAGCTTCTCCTGAAGCATCCTTGTCACCTTCTTATGAAGCTCTAGCAAGGTAGCTCCGGACCCCATTGCCCCAGTTAGATCCCCAACATTGCGCTCCTCTAGGTACCCTGTCCCTTCACCCAAGCTAGATAAAGATGAATCAGATTGAATGGAGTCAGATCCTTATTGCCTGCCATTATGATTAATGTTTCTCCTTTGTTAATTTCACATCTGATCCACCTACTATTCTTTTTTGTCTCAGGCTGGCTAAAATATCCTTTGTTATCTATCTGCTTTATCAATGGTAATATGCTATCTATGCATGTGAGTATCGATGTTGACCCTATTACCAGGAATAGCTCTCACTGCTATACTCCCTTCTGGCCTGGCAACTCAAGCTAGGGCATTTCTCTAGCCACTTTCATGGCAGCACCCATTTCACCATCCAGACTCAATGCATAGTCTTGGTCATGAAATACCCTAGGAAGGCACTACTGAAAGATTATCACTAGAAATACCACTAATTGGTGAAGTGGTCTCTGCAGGCTAGTGAACTGATTCTCTGCCCACACATATGTGTTACGCACATAGTCTAAAAGACCAGAGACATGTGTTAGCAACCAATCTTCAGGTTTAATAATATGATTAAGATAGAGATGGAGTTCACTGATTCTTAGGTCTCTGGTGCGCCAGGGAGCCCATGCATCCTAAGCTACTGCTTGGTCACATATCTAAATGAGCATGCTTGGCGCATGTGTTGCAGATGCCTTCGCAGCACATGCTTGTTGTGTGTGGCCGTTCTGGTTGATGTAGCATCCATGCCACATGCGGGCCACCTTTGGGACTCATTGATGACTCGCCTCTACAGCTGGGAGCGGCCCTACAGCCGCTCCTAGAGCGGGTATATTGCTTTCTTTCTCCATTTGGACTGTCTCACTTTGTTTTCACCTTGTCTCACCTTGTTTCAGTTGTTTCACCGGGTTAGCCGGCTGAGGCGGTCCTGTATGATGTCATTGACACTCCGGACCGACCTCCAGATGGAGCTTTTGACCGCTTTGTAAGGTGTTTCACCTGCAATGACCCGTTGATGTCATACCTTCCTTTTTCGTTTCTTATTGTTCTGTGTAGCTTAAATACCCATGGTCCAAGGGCGATTCTTTCCTCAGACTCTTACCCTCTGGACCACAGGTGCGCTCCCTTCTGTTCTTTGTATCTACCTAGACTCTTACCCTCTGGACCACAGTCCTGTTGTTATAGAGCTTCTTTTTGGCACTCTCTCTGTGCCAATCGCTTCGTTGTCACTGTACTCAACATCAATCCAGTTGTTGGAGGCAAGAGGATACAATCTGTGGAGTTCTCAAACGTCCTGCATGTCCCTGATCTTGGTTGTAATCTCCTGTCTTGTGCTGAGTCAAATACAGCACAAGCACTTCTCCATGCTAATAGAAGGATCTTCGATGCATTTCTCCCGGGATGGCGCACAGTCGTTCCTGATAGTTCCAACAATGCTTATCTTCAACGGACCACCTCCTGTTGTTTTTGGCCGTTCTGGTTGATGTGGCATGGATGCCACATGGGTGCCCCCTTTGGGACTCATTGATTACTCGCCTCTACAGCCGGGAGCGGCCCTACAGCCGTTCCCAGAGCGGGTATATTGCTTTCTTTCTCCATTTGGACTGTCTCACCTTGTTTTCACCTTGTCTCGCCTTGTTTCAGTTGTTTCACCGGGTTAGCCGGCTGAGGCGGTCCGGTGTGATGTCATTGACACTCCGGACCGAGCTCCAGATGGAGCTTTTGACCGCTTTGTAAGATGTTTCACATGTAATGACCCGTTGATGTCATACCTTCCTATTTCGTTTCTTATTGTTCTGTGTAGCTTAAATACCCGTGGTCCGAGGGCGATTCTTTCCTCAGACTCTTACCCTCTGGACCACAGGTGCGCTCCCCTCTGTTCTTTGTATCTACTTAGACTCTTACCCTCTGGACCACAGTCCTGTCGTTATAGAGCTTCTTGTTGGCACTCTCTCTGTGCCAGTCGCTTCTTTGTCACTGCGTTAAACAGGTTATGGGCCCTGCGCTCTAGCGACTTTGCTCTACATCGTTTTATCCACACTTTCTGGTCTCCCATCTGCTGTGCCACTCCTTTCTGGCCACACCCCATTGCTGCCACATCTTCCCCATTGCTTTCCCTGCCTTTCCCATCGTCACACATCGCTTCCAACACCTTTCCCTCCTTGTGCCACTTGTCCTACACCATGTCTGACCCCTCATTCGCTCTCCCTTCTGTCTCCCCTCTCAATAATCGCAACTATCCTTCCTGGTCCAAGGAGATCAAGGCCTGGCTTCGTCTCAAAGGCCTATGGCTTCTGGTCTCTGGTGATGAGACAGCCCCTGTTGGCACGAAGGAGAAGCCTGCTGACCCAAGGGAGGTGGCAGAGTGGAAGAGGAATGCTCAGAAGGCTGCTGGTGCGCTCTTACTATCAGTTGAGGAGCAGTTCAGAGGCGTCTTGGATGGCATTGAGGACGACCCCATTGCCATTTGGACCAAACTAGAGGAGCAGTTCAATAAGAAGTCTGCTGGATCGCGTTTCAACGCGATGGAGGACCTCTTTTCGATCAAGAAGCGCAACGATGAGTCCCTCCAGTCCCTCATTCATCGTGTCGACGAGTCTATGCGCGTCTTGAAGAACCTCCGCGACTCTGGCTTCGATCTCAAGAAGCAGGACGAGGAGCTCACTTGCATGGCCCTCTTGTGGTCTCTTCCCTCCGAGTTTGACACCTTCCGCTCCTCTCTCAGTCTCATGGACGTCTTGTCTCGCTCCAAGCTCGAGGACGCGTTCAGGCGCGAGGATTTGAATCGTGCGCGTCGTTCGGTTCCCACAGACTCTGCACAGGCCCTTGTGGCATCCTTTCCTTCGTCCTCCACCTCTTCCTCCACCTCCTACAGACGTTCTAGGCCACCCAGGAAGCAGTACAAGTGCGACTTCTGTGGTGCCACTGGCCATACTGATGACAGGTGCTTCAAGAGGATCAATGAGGAGCTGAAGAAGTCCAAGCCACAGCAGGCCCACTCGGTTCAGGCCCCTGAAGCCTCTGGTCCCATGCAGTTTGCAGGCAATGCAAGTTTTCGTTCCCCTGCTCCATCCCCTTCATCCACAGCCCCCTCACTCGTCACTGACCTCGATTGGAATGCGGACACAGGTGCGACCTCTCATATGACGCCCCATTGCCACTGGCTTCGCAACTATCGTCCCTTTGTCGTCCCCATTCGTCTTGCAGACTCGTCTGTCATCTATTCTGCTGGTGTTGGGACTGTGGTGTTCAATCCGGTCATTGGAGGCAAGAGGGCGCAGTCTGTGGAGTTCTCAAACGTCCTGCATGTCCCTGATCTCGGTTGTAATCTCCTGTCTGTGCTGTATTTGACTCAGCACAAGCACTTCTCTGTGCTAATAGAAGGATCTTCGATGCATTTCTCTCGGGACGGGGCAGTGTGGTTCATGGCAATCGTTCCTGATGGTTCCAACAACGCATATCTTCAAGGCACCACATCCACCGTTGTTTTGCAGTCTGCTGGTGCCGCTTCTACTCTCCCTCTTGACTTGTCCCTGTGGCATCGTCGTCTCTGCCATCACCACCATGCTGGAGTGCAGAAGATGGTGAAGGAACGTCTCGTTACTGGTCTACAGCTCGATTCGGATGTGCAGCCTGACCCTGTGTGCGAGCCCTGTCTCTCTGGCAAGATGCATGCTCACCCCTTCCCCTCCACTGGCTCTGTGACCTCCAAACCGCTTGAACTCGTCCACTCTGATCTCCATGGTCCTCTCCCTGTTGCCACTCACTCTGGAATGCGCTACTGGATCACCTTCATTGATGAGTTCACCAAGCTCAAGGTGGTCTATGTCCTGCGCTTGAAGAGCGACGCATTTGAGGCTTTCAAGCGCTACAAGGCCTATGTGGAGAACCTGACTGGAGAGCGCATTTTGGCTTTGCAGGATGACAAGGGAGGAGAGTACATGTCCAATGCCTGGGACTCGTTTTGTTTGGAGCATGGGATCGCTAGGAGGCACACGGCGCGCAATCGGCCACAGCAGAACGGCGTGGCAGAGCGTGCCAATCGCACTATCATGGAGGCCCTCACTGCCATGCTCTCTGAATCGCATTTGCCGCTTGTCTTCTGGGGCGAGGCTCTGGCCGCTTATGTGCACGTCTGGAATCGACTCTGGACGTCCACACTGAAGGGCAAGACGCCATTTGAGATGGTCCATGGGAAGAAGCCGGACGTTTCGCACTTGCGGGTCTGGGGCTGCCTGGCTTATGTGCATGTGCAGAGGGACAAAAGGGATGGATTTGGATCGCATATGGAGAAGTGCGTGTTGATTGGGTATCCTGAGGGCTACAAGGCGTGGAAGTTCTACAATCCTGCGACTCGGAAGGTCATCATTTCGGAAAGGGCAGACTTTGATGAGCGATTCTTTCCTGGCACTCGCCACTTTGATGCTAACACCCAGTCTGCCACCCCTCCTCCTTCGTCTCTGTTCAGTCTTTGGGATGCAGATGTGGATCCGGTGCCGGTTCTGGGGGGGGAAGCAGATGCTCCTCCTCCTGCTGGTCATCTCGAAGATGCTCCCATCGATCAGGATCATCCTGTGGCAGACCCAGCACCTCCTCCACCTCTTGCTCCTGCCATTGTCCCTCCTGATGCTCCCCCTCCTGTCATGCCAGCGCCACCTCCTGCTCTTAGAACGCGCTCCAGGAATCGCTCTGCTACCCCTGAACCAGGCCCATCTGTTACTCGACGCTCCACTCGTACTCGTCGCGCTCCTGGGGAATGGTGGAAGGTTAGGACACTGTCTGCAGACAATGATGCTCATTCGGACACTCCTGAGGACGCCCCTGATGCTTCTGGAGAGGCAGAGATGGAACCCGTTGTTGAGGACGCATTTTTGGCTGAAGTCGAGCGTGCCCTATTCACCTCTGGTGCTGAAAAGGCTGAGCCCTCGACGTATCGTCAGGCAATGAAGCGCCCTGATGCAGATGAGTGGCAGAAGGCGGCAGAGGAAGAGATGGAGGCTCATGCTCGGAATCGCACCTGGGACATTGTTCCACTCCCTGAGGGCTGCAAGGCAATTGGTTCTCGTTGGGTTTTCAAGGTGAAGCACAACACGGATGGCTCTGTCGAGCGCTACAAGGCTCGTCTCGTCGCCAAGGGCTTCAGTCAGCGCCCTGGGTTTGATTACTTCGAGACATTCGCCCCCACAGCCAAGTTTGCAGCCATTCGCGCCATCCTTGCTCTCTCTGCCCTTGAGGACTTTCACCTGCGCTCTGTGGACATCTCCCATGCATTCATCAATGGCGACCTGGACACTGTGGTGTACATGGAGCAGCCTGAAGGATTTGAGCAGGGAGGACCTGAGATGGTGTGCCGCTTGATGAAGGGCTTGTATGGGTTGAAGCAGGCGAGTCGGCTGTGGTACAAGAAGCTCAAGGCGGTATTGGAGCGCATGGGATTCAAGGCGATCTACTCTGACAACAGCATCTATGTCTATGCCAAGGATCAGGTCAAGGTCATTCTGCCTGTCTTTGTGGATGACTGCACTTTTGCGTCGAATTCCTTGTCCCTGCTCGATCATCTTGTCGTTGAGCTCTCCAGGTCGTTCAAGCTTCGCGATTTGGGGCCCACCACCGCTCTTCTTGGTATAGAGATTGCGAGGGATCGCCCCAATCGTCGCCTGATGCTCTCCCAGCGCCAGTACATCCTAGACATGCTGGACCGTTATGGACAGGCCGACTCGACCCCTGTGAAGACCCCCATGGTCCCTGGCACCAATCTCTCTGTCTCCATGGCTCCTGTATCGACTGAGGACAAGGAGTACATGAAGAAGGTTCCCTACATCTCTGCTGTCGGCTCCTTGCTGTTCCTTGCACTCGCCACTCGTCCTGACATCGCCCACACGGTCTCTGTCCTATGCCGTTTCAACTCGAATCCTGGGATTGCGCACTGGAAGGCTGTGAAGCATCTGTTTCGCTATCTGAGAGGCACCCTGGATTATCGACTTGTCTATGGTCCCACCGACTCCAAGGAGCTCTTTACCTCGTTCTGTGATGCTGATCATGCAGGCAACCAGACAACGGACGGTCCACGAGTGGATATGTGTTGCGCATTGGCTCTGGAGTGATCAGCTGGAGCTCCAAACTTCAGGGACTCGTTGCACAGTCGACCACAGAGGCGGAATTCATTGCTGCCGTTGATGCGGGCCGGGAGATCGTCTGGATGCGCAATTTGCTCACTGAACTTGGCTACTCCCTATCTGAGGCATCGATTCTCCGTGTCGATAACCAGTCGGCTGTTGCAGTTAGCAAGAATCCAGAGCACCATGGGCGGATGAAGCATCTCGATCTTCGATTCTTTTGGCTCAGGGACCAGGTAGAGGCTGGTGTGATTGCGCCAGCCTACGTTCCTACTGTGGACAACGCTGCAGACATCCTGACGAAGGCTGTTCCACCTGAGAAGGTGAAGATTTGCTGCGGCCTGATGGGACTAGAGGATCTGCCGCATTAGGAGGGTGTTTTGGACGCTGTAGAGGCGTGCAATCAGGAGGGTGTGTTGTTTTTGGCCGTTCTGGTTGATGTGGCATGGATGCCACATGGGTGCCCCCTTTGGGACTCATTGATTACTCGCCTCTACAGCCGGGAGCGGCCCTACAGCCGTTCCCAGAGCGGGTATATTGCTTTCTTTCTCCATTTGGACTGTCTCACCTTGTTTTCACCTTGTCTCGCCTTGTTTCAGTTGTTTCACCGGGTTAGCCAGCTGAGGCGGTCCTGTATGATGTCATTGACACTCCGGACCGAGCTCCAGATGGAGCTTTTGACCGCTTTGTAAGGTGTTTCGCCTGCAATGACCCGTTGATGTCATACCTTCCTTTTTCGTTTCTTATTGTTCTGTGTAGCTTAAATACCCGTGGTCCGAGGGTGATTCTGTTCTCAGACTCTTACCCTCTGGACCACAGGTGCGCTCCCCTCTGTTCTTTATATCTGCTCAGACTCTTACCCTCTGAACCATAGTCCTGTTGTTATAAAGCTTCTTTTTGGCACTCTCTCTGTGCCAGTTGCTTCATTGTAACTGCCCTCAACAATGCTTCTCCTAGTATTATCCAACTTGTTGCACTAGCAAAGATACTCACCCAACCCCTCCTACCTACCAATGGGCAATCCAGAATGAAGTTGATGTGTATGTCGTCAGCCATCCACATAAAGATATCAATTAGAAAGGCCTGGAGATCCTGGTTACTAATTTTGGTCAATAGGCCTATTTTCTCTATAGTGACTTAAAGCATGGAAAGAAAAAAGCTGTTTAACATGGATGAAGCTCTTGCCTTTCCACCTAGAAAAGCAATATCATAGAGCTTCTCTGCAAACTTGGTGAGACTGTCAGTTGGGTGAGCAAAACGTGAAAAATCTTCCACAAAAGACAAATTGTCATCAGCTAGTGCAAGAACCAGAGCTGTGTATATTTGTTTGTCTAGATCATATATCAAGAGAAAATTTGCTCTCAAGCCATTGGTTGAGATTGTCCAGATCATCCAAATCACCTTGGACTAAAACAATGTGTGTGATGATGAACTATGAAGTGGGGCTCCCCATATGACAAGATCTGTGCACGATCTAAAACTGTATATGGCTCTTGGGTCTTCTTATTCACTGACCACAAGTATGAAAGGATCCGCGGCTATCCATCTTTTTACCAGCCAAATGAAATCCCTTCCACAGTGCTGGAAACCTGTCCATTATCAAAGATCTGGTGAGCCAAGTATCATTCATGCCTTTTGTTAACACTCTCATATTGCCTGCATGTGCAAAGTTCAGAGTTCTCTCCAGCACAGCAACAAACTCAAGATGATAGGGATTGATATCTCTGTTATCATCAACATCTTTGAGGGACTTTTTCCAAAGTTTGTAAGGGCACAACATAATAGGATAAGTGACCTATTAAAACATGCTTGGGTAAACCTGTCCCATTCTCCAAGTTATTCATCATATATAAATTACGATCACATAGAGCATCATACCTCCAGTTTGAAAATAACACAGTGGAATTTCACCACTTCAAATATCTCCACAATTGGTCCACGCCTGTACCAAAGGGTACATGACATGCTTGTAAAGTGAGCCACCATCCTGCTTGTTGTCTTATAAGTGATTGAGCTTGATCACATAAACATTCTCTATTTTTAAGAAGCAATCCAGCTTTAGGTCCTTGATCTGTTCCATAAACCAATTATGAGGTAGGGCTTCCTTGTAGTAGTCAAGAAATACTTAATATGTTTGCTTTTGACATGCACTAGTCACTGAAGCTCCTACTATTGTCCCTGTAATTCTACTTTTTTGAACCTTGTGGTGTGAAGCTGACAAATGAACATGATGCAAAACCTTGTTATAAGCCTACAACAATATGCTCCAAAGGAAAGGATTTGGACAAAGATGAGGATCATCTTCATTAGTGAAATATAGATCTAGGTTATTGTTCAGCATTTTCAAGACAGTGTGAAATGGCCTTATCAGCCTCTGAGCCTAATAATGACCAACTACTAGCAAGAATGCCATGGGGTAAGCAGTATATATGCAATCTTTAAATAGGTCATCATCTTCCAACATGTTATCAATCTTATCTTCAGAGTGGATGGACTTGGGGGAACAACTATCAAAGAAGGTGCCCAGCTTATCCAGCTATACAGCTTATCCAGCTATATGCATATGCTACAGCTGGGATCTGTGTGGTGAATGTTTGGCATACAATAGATGATGCATATTCCTTATGTGTCATAAACCTTAATTAGAGCTCTATCCACATTCTCATAAGGAAGAGCATCCAGATTTTTGACTAGCATGTATATATGCTTATTGAAGAAATCATAGAGCACTTAGGCCCTTAGTTTGTCTGATGGCACAATGTTCCATAAGACCCTGGGACAACAACTTGATCCACCACATTAGTCCAGATGATATGGGGAATGAGAAAATGCAAATAGACCCAAGATAATACATTTTTAGGACAGCACAAAAATAAGATGAGCACAACCACAAAGCAAGGGATAGCAAATTCACAAAGCAAGACACACACTCTCCCATTGCTATTCAGACCACATCGGAAGAGCAGTTCAACAAAAAGTCTGCTAGGTCGCATTTCAACATAATGGAGGACCTCTTTTCAATTAAGAAGCACTACAATGAGTCCCTTCAGTCTCTTATCCATTGTGTTGATGAGTTTATGCACATTCTGAAGAACCTCTGGGACGCTGGCTCCAATCTCAAGAAGCAGGAGAAGGAGCTGACCTGTATGATGCTCTTGTGGTCTCTCCCATCTGAATTTGACTCTTTCCACTCTTTCCTCAGTCTCATGGATGTCCTGTCTCACTCCAAGCTTGAGGACACGTTCAGGCATGAGGATTTGAACCATGTGCATCACTCTGATTCTACAGACTCAGCTCAGGCCCTTGTATCATCTTTTCCCTCTGCCTCCACCTCTTACAGATATTTTAGGCCACCTAGAAAGCAGTACAAGTGTGATTTCTGTGTTGCCACTGGCTATACTGATGATAGATGCTTCAAGAGGATCAATGAGGAACTAAAGAAGTCTAAGCCACACTAGGCCCACTCGGTTCAGGCCCTGAAGTCTCTGGTTCCATCCAGTTTAGATGGATAGATGACTCACTTGGCAGATAACAGGGTTAGCATGGAGAGTTCCAATAGAGATTGCTTTCAAGGGGTTCCTGGGAGAATCAAGGCATTGAGGCTCAATTGGCAGGCATTCAAAGAATATCACTAGGACACCCCGGCAAAACATAGTGATATGTGAATGACTCACTTGGCAGGTAATGTAATTGGTAATGAGAGTTTGGATAAAGATCACTCTGGAGACATCAAGCACTAGTAAGAGTGGGCTTAGTCATAGGTTGGGCAAACAGATAGTTTAACTTAGAATGAATAAGCAAATTAAAGAGAATGGTATTGAGTACAGTAATAATAAAGCAAGTGGCATAGAGAGAGTGCCAAGAAATAGTTATATAATAACAGGACTGTGGTCCAGAGGGTAAGAGTCAGGGTAGATACAAAGAACAGAAAGGAGCGTACCTGTGACACAGGACCACCTAAGTCAGCCAATCCAGTGAAACAATGAAAACAAAGTGAGACAGTCCAAATAGAGATAAAAAACAATATACCTGCTCTAGGAGTGGCTGTAGGGCTGCTCCTAGCTGTAAGGGCAAGTCATCAATGAGTCCGCATTGTGACATGCATGTGGCATGCATGTCACATCAACTAGTATGGCCAGAAATAATACACCCTCCTAATTGCACGCCTCTAGAGCATCCAAAATACCCTCCTAATAATTTTGTCATTGAGCTCTCCAGGTCATTCAAGCTTCACAATTTGGGGTCCACCACCGCTCTTCTTGGGATAAAGATTGCCAGGGATTGCCCCAATTGTCACCTGATGCTCTCCCAGTGCCAGTACATCCTCAACATGCTGGAGCATTATGAATAGGCCAAATTGACCCCTGTAAAGACCCCATGGTTCCTGGCACCAATCTCTCTGTCTCTATGGCCTCTGTATTGACTGAGAACAAGGAGTACATAAAGAAGGTCCCCTACATCTCTGCTGTCAGTTCCCTTGCTACTCATCCTGACATTGCCCACACCATCTCTGTCCTATGCTGTTTCAACTCGAATCCTGGGATTGCATCTGGAAAAACATCCCCTTGTATTAGCTCCGGATTATATCTAATAGTGTCTAAAAGTATCTAAAAGTATTAATAGTATCTAAAAGTGTCTAATTTCCTAATTGGGAGCAACACATTATGAGCATTGGATTGGTTTCTAATTTCATGATATTAGCTCTAATTCTATACTAAGAAGTCTTTAATTATTAGTAGGAAATAGTAAGTACTACTGCTCTATCAGTGAGAAGGTAAAGATGTGGCACATTCGATACTATTTTAGCATATTACTCTCCTTCATATATGCCTATACCATTATCTTGTAGCTCTTTTGCTGACTTTCCAGCTGCTTTTATAAGGGATATAGAAAGAGAGAAATGTGCATTGATGCCCCCAGCCACTTTGTTGGCAGCTTGGCAGCTGCCACAAGAGGCTATGAAGACCTAGGTACCTTGGCCTTGCACACAAGATCATTAAAGTTGTCATTGTTAGCCAATGCCTGCTACTAGTCATTATAGGACACAATATGTGGGTTGGACTTAGGGATATGCTATATGCAGCCTTATAGACCTTGTCTATTAGTATAGTGGCTAATACTGTCTTGTGCAGCACACAATCATCATCACTATTGATATTACAATTTTTAGCACTATTTATATTGTTTATTGCCTTGATATAGAAGATGTTCAAACTTGGTGTTTTCCTCTAGCTATTAGGCTGTGGAAAAGACAGTCATATTGGTATGTGGTGCCAGAATGATATATTTGCCTGCCATATAGGAAATATATGCATTAAGCATATTAAGATTACCTCCAACAATCTTGTGCTTATTTATATATAGGCATGCCATACATATACTCTTGTTCCCACCCTCTACCTTACTAGTGGCTATTTGGAAAACCCCTCTCTCTTATTGGATCTTAATTATTTATAATCATGTTTTTGATCAAATTTGCAAATTCAGGTAGCATTGTCTATACTGGTAGAGTCCCATTGAATATCACACTCAATCATAGTTTTACACATTCTCAGTCCAGATTGTATAAGTGCCATAATTTATTTTTATCCTATATAAAGTGTATTATTGATTTTCCATTGGTTTATTATTTTCTTAGCTGGTATTTAAACTAAATCCTGAAAGACCTGACTTTTTAGGTATTTATTGACCTATTTATTTATAAGATAGAGGAAAGATAAATATTAAATAAAATCAGAGATGTTGAGGTTGCCTATATTATGTCTACTTATTTAGATTACCAAGTTCATATCTTAGACCTTGTGGCTTAGTGGCTTAGAGCATCTGTCCTAGGTGCTTGCATACATGAGGTTGTTGGTTCAATTCTGGTAGAAGGCAAGTTTGTTATAAGGTATATTCTGTGTTTAGGTATTTAACTAGTGTTCTAATAGACATGACTCTATAAGAAGGCTATGAGAACTGTAATGCTTGATTTATTATGATTTTTCTGAAATTTCAAGTTATAATCAATCCTAATAATTCCTAATTTAGGAAAATTATATCTAATTAGAACAAGTTTAGAGGGGGGGTAAGCTAAAAATGTCTAATCCTAATTGTTCTTAATTATGCATAAATAGAACTAATTAGAGCTTAATACAAAGGGGTGGTTTTCCAGATGTGCGCACTGGAAGGCTGTGAAGCATTTGTTTTGCTATCTGAGAGGCATCCTGGATTATCGACTTGTCTATGGCTTAATCGACTCTAAGGAGCTCTTCATCTCATTTTGTGATTATCCAGGCAACCCTGACAATGGATAGTCCACCAGTGGACACGCATTGTGCATTGGCTCTGGAGCACTCAGCTAGAGCTCCAAGCTTTAGGGACTGGTTGTACAGTCGACCACAGAGACAGAATTTATTGCTGGAATTGATGCAGGCCAGGAGATCGTCTGGTATCAAATATAAAGTAATAACACCCATTTTTGTATGAGCAGTTATCATAGTTGGGTAGAGCATCTGTATTGGTATTTTCATAGAACCAACGGTCTCCTCTTTGCCAGATTGGGCAATTGTTATGATGGAGTTGCTTATTATACGGGCATCTACATTAAGCTATTAGGCTTATCTGTTGTTTGTGGCCGTTCTAGTTGATGTGGCATCTATGCCACATAGGTGCCACCTTTGAGACTTATTGATTACTTGCCTCTACAGCTGGGAGCAGCCCTACAGCCGCTCCTAGAGCGGGTATATTGCTTTCTTTCTCCATTTGGACTGTCTCACTTTCTTTTCACCTTGTCTTACCTTGTTTTAGTTGTTTCACCAGGTTGGCCGGCTAAGGCGGTCCTGTGTGATGTCATTGACACTCCAGACCGACCTCCAGGTGGAGCTTTTGACCGCTTTGTAAGGTGGACCACCTGTAATAACCTGTTGATGTCATACCTTTCTTTTTTGTTTCTTATTGTTTTGTGTAGCTACAATACCCATGGTCTGAGGGCGATTCTTTCCTCAGACTCTTACCCTCTAGACCACAGGTGCGCTCCCCTCTGTTCTTTGTATCTATTTAGACTCTTACCCTCTGGACCACAGTCCTGTTGTTATAGAGCTTCTTTTTGGCACTCTCTCTGTGCCAGTCGCTCCATTATCACTGCGCTCAACATTATCATGTACAATAAGCACTAAAAGAGGTTCCTTAGGCTATTTCAAGAGTAATGGCCCAATGAATGAAGACTATTGCTTATCTTTGGACTTGTGCAAGGAAGTCTAAGTTACTGTCAATCTTATCTCCAAATAGACAGAGAAGGTGATTCTTAATGATAGAGTGGTGTTTATTGGGAATGGAACTGTCTTCCCTAATCCAACAAATAACTTGAGATAAATTCCAAGAGAGGACTCTATATGCTATAAGTCCTTGATATATTCTAAAGATGTGAGAATAATAAAGGCTTTAAGACAAATCCAGTGCTTTGTTTCACTAAGTACAATACTTTAGATTTGGCAAAGTTTACAATGTGTAAGCTAGAAAGATAGCTGGATACTAGGCATAGTGTAAAAATCAAGTTGTATACAAAGTGAACAAGCTAAGTTTCTTAGAAGCTTATATTAGCTATTTATATGTATAAGCTATTTAGGGTGGGACCAAAATCTGGTCCATGCTTCTAAATACTAATTTACTAAATAATTAAGTCCTTGGTTGTGATTAGCGGTCTATGGTCTATAGTTTACCCATAGATAGTAACTATTGCAAATATCTGTCTATGTTATTAGGAATATAGGAACCAATCATGATCAACATCAGTAAGTGTCCAGGCTGGAGCTTGTAAATAAGTTATATATAGTAAGTGTTCATATATAAGCATGTTGATAGTAATTGAACAAGTCCATAGTCTGTGTCCTAGTTATGTGTGTACTTTCTTCTAAGTCACAGTCAGGGATGGGGGTGAGCTGATTTTTGGGGAAGAGATCAGCATATGCTTGAGGAAGATTGACCCATGCTTCTAAAGCAGGGGAATCAGTCTATCCCGCTGAGATTGGGTACTAAAAGGGCACTAGCATATCTAGCTATAGAGAAGAAAGAGCCAACTATGTGGTAATAAGAAAAAAAGGGCCACAGAAAAAAGATTAAAGGACAGAAAAGGGGAAAATAAGAAGAAAAGCCAGAGAGGGGTGAGCAATATTTCCTAAAGACCCTAGAGCATTGATAATGCACTATGGTTCATACATGAATTTTTTTGGCTAAAGTAAATGATATTCTTTCTATTCTGCTATGTCTTCCCTTGACATATACCATGGCTTAATATTGTCTAGTGGGTTAGATCTTTTAGACCAGTAGATAACAATACAATATACCCCTCTGTTATCCAGTAAAAACAGCCATTTTGGTAATGATTCTCTTAGCATATATTTATCAATGACTAAGCATGCCCATCTGAAACCTATAACATAGAACTAGCAGATAGTGCTTCTTTTATAAGGAATACATGTAAGGGTTGAGATGTATTCCTGTAGAGAGTGATGAAAGAGGATATACATGCTAAATGAGCTATATCCATGGGAGTAGAAACTGATTAGGTCACTAGGTCACTATAAAAGGCTAGGAGATTAATAAGTCCCTTGTTTCTATGATTAGTGATAGCCAAATTTATGATCAGAGTCATTTGGTACTAATTTAGTAGTCCCTAGTGTACTTGGTAAGCTTAAGCTATAACCATTTGCTATAAATAGAAAAAGAAACTCTTGGGGTCATTTAGCCTAGACTAGTTTAGCATAATCAGGAATTCATTATTAGTAAAGGTGATGTGATAGGTGCTACCAATGAAGTTGGGGCTTTTATAGTTCTCAAGGTTATAAATAGGAAAAAGATGTATAGGAAGAATAATATAAAGTGAGGGAGTCATCTAAGTTAGAGAAGACAACTAAGATAGATTGGAGAATAAAGAAGGAAAAGGAAGAGTAGGCATGAGTATTAGGGAAGGTAGTAGTGTAAAAGTTTGACATAATATAATGGGGTAATTAAAGAAAGTAGAATTTGTGGACTATAAGTTACATATAGCTAGGGAGCTAGGGAAAGGTTTGGTTAAAAGTGACTTATATTTATATGAGATCACTAGCAATCACACAAGAACCTTGACAGATAGCAGTGATAAGAATTGTGGTAATAAAAACAGAAAGAAAGGTGGTAGTAGCAATAGTGGTATAGATAACAACCTCTACTAGAGTAGGATTTAGGATAGGGGTCATAGTTGTTTTCCTAGCCATGCCAAACCACAATTTGTCTGCCTTTATAGCCCTTAGTAGGCTTAAATATGCCAATTAGAGCTGTCTAATTGTTTGTGCTATGACAGTAATTGAGATGAGTTTAAATCAGACTTCTTTGGCTGTGTTCCTTGATCATTGATCATTAATGTTGGTGTGGTTGACTATGGAGTCAATGATCACCTCTTTAACTATGTCATTTATTTCTTGATTGCTTCTATGGGAAATTTTTAATTCTGTAAATGGAAGCTTTTTTTTTACTAGGTGCTCCTAAAGCTTTTTCTTGATTCAATCTTCTTTGGCAGCCCTATTATACTCCAATTCGATTATTAAGGCTAAGATCAATGCTTCTATCCCTTTGACTATATGAGGGTGCCTATGATAAAACTCTATAATAGCTTCTTTGACATTAATAATATTTGCTGCTGCTTTCTATGAGTTGTTTGATTCAAGATAGCCCTTCTATTTGATCAAATATTGTAGGGTCTCCCATCATTCAAAGTATTGGGCTCTAACAATTGCTTTGACTTTAAATTCTTTTTGCTTTTTAATTAGGTCAGAGGCTGGTTTAGGGTAATTAGGGCTAAAGACCTTGTTTTCCTTATAGAGTGTGACTCAACTAGCATAAAAGATATTATAAATGTGCTTCCAGCTATTGGACACTTTTAATATGAAGTTGATAGTTCTAATAGTGTTGATGATTTTGAATAGCCTAAAGTATTTGGGTCTTAGTTTCTCCAAGAGGTGATCAGTGTGGATATTTTTTCTATCTAGCCATACTTGGCCTTTTTTCTTGAAAGGTGGTAGTTTTATTCTAAAATGATTATGTTATATCCTCATAGCTTCAGCTATGATTTTGAGATTGGCTTGTGCTTCCTTCCTAGCACATTGTAAAGCTTGAAGGTAAGTGTTGGTGGTGGGGACATTTATGTTTCTTATAATGGCTAGATATGCTTGTGGTTGATATCCATGTAGAAGTTCAAGAGGGGATTTCTTTGTGGCTAAATGCTGATATATATTATAGGTATATTCAATATAAGGAATTAATATTGCCAAATTGTTCTATGTCAAGCTGCAAAAGGCTCTTAGATATTGTTCTAGTTCTTGATTCATTTGTTCAGTAGCACTATTTATTTGTGGGTAATAAGCTATGCTTAATACGAATTGAATTCCCAGTTCTTTAAGTAAGGCTTATGCTAATTTTGAGGCAAATTAGGTTTCTGTCTAATATGGTTTTATTAGGTAGTATGTATTATCTCCAAGTATTCTCAAGTAGGATTTTGGCTATTCTATTCAAGTGGATAGTTTTCAGACAAGGTGTGATAACTATTGTTTGGGTAAATCTATTGGTTACCACATAAAGTGAGTTAAATCTATTTGATTTGGAAAGGTTGGTGATAAAATCCATAGTAATTGTTCTACATGGTCTGTCTAGGATCTCTGTTAGTTAAAATAGTACTATAGTGGGATATGTGTCATTTTTTGGTGGATTGGTATGTCATACATCCTTCCATATATTGGTAGACTGTATTTGATATTCCAGGCCAAGTAAATTCCTGTCATACTATAGCTAGTATCCTTCTTTGTCTAAAATATTGTATAACTAGATTGTTGTGGTTTATCTTTTTAGTTTGCTTTAATAATATATTTCTTGAGGTCTTTACTAATTAAGACAACACCTCCTTGTCTAGTTGCTTTGATGTGGAATATCAAATGGGGGTTTAGATTGTCTTTTATAGTGATTGCATTGATTTTTATAAAAGGTTTTTAGCCTATTTTCTTTATTCAATTAAAAAGTTTGGGTTCCAAAAGTGTTTCGCCTAAATTATCAAATTCCACCCCCTTTTTATAGTCTAAACACTATAACAGACTGTCAGATTTATTAGTGACTCTTGTCTTATGTGTTAATTTATATGAGATATAAAAAGAAGAGTGACTATTAAGCTTGCTGATGGGGCAATTCTTGGCTTGAGCAAAACCATTCCAGGTTCTTGTGGTTGATCTAAACATCAATTGGATTTTAGTGCCTTTTAGATAGTATTGCCAAGCTTCAAATGCTCAAATAAGTACTAGCAACTTTTTATTATAGATAGGATAGTTGTGTTCTGTTGGTGAGAGTGATTTGAAAATATAGGTGCAAGGGTGCCATCAGAGGTAACCTATGATAAATCTATGATGGAAGTTGTAAAATCCTGAGAACAATTGGACTTCTTTGACCTTGGTAGGTATCAGCCAATCCATGATGCTAGCTACTTTAATTGGATCTATTTTGAGATATCCATAAGATATAATATATCCAAGATAATTTATTTTCTTCTTGTGGAAGTGGCATTTTAGTGATTACAAGTATAGATTATTGTCTTGTGGAATCTATAATATATGTTGTATTATTTAATTTGTTCATCCATGGTCTTGGAAAACACCAGAATATTGTCTATATAGATAGCCATCTTTTCTATATAGATAAGGTCTTTAAACAGAGCATCCATCATGGTTTGGAATGTCACTTGAGAGTTGGGTAATTCAAAAAACATAACTACAGGTTTGTACATTTCTAGGTTTGTGACAAATGCTGCCTTCTTAATACTTTCTTCATTTATGAGCATGTTGTTATATCCTGTGTCAATGTCCATAAGTGAGAATATTATTGCTTCCACTAGGAGACTCAGTAATTCTTGAATAATTAGTAATAGATGCTTATTCTTAATAGTTATTTTATTGAGCTTGTGATAGTCTATTACTAGTTATAACTTTTTCCTCTTCTTTTTAATGAAGAAGGGAAATGCTATATGTAATTTGGATTTCCAAGTAAATCTTTTCTTTAATTTTTCATTAATAAACTTTTTGAGTTGTATTTGTTCTACTAGGCTAAGACTATAAAGTTTTGGTCTGAGTAAGTGGTCCATTCTATCCTTGAGTTTAATCTTGTGATTTTAAGAATGCCTTAGTGGTAGTTTCCTTAGTTTTTATCTTTTGGAAGCCTTTTTATGGCTTTAGTTTTTCTTTAAAACTATTTTTTTGGATGATAGTTTAGATTTGCCTTTTACTACTTTGACAGGTTTCTTTTTTGGAGCTAGTGTATTGGCTATAAAGGATTCTCTAGTTTTGGCATAGTAGATATTAAATCCTTCTTTACTATCATTATATAGTTTAAGAGCCTCAAGTACTCCTGTGTCAAGGCATCTGACAAGATAAACTCTGTCTTTTTCTAAATTTGTAGAGAGAAGTGCCAATAGTTAAATACCATCCTTTTAAGTATCCTTTTTGGCTCATGTTAGTGCCTTATAATATTTGGCTTAGGTTCTAAGGTACTCTATATTCTTGCCTTCAGGTTGCAAACCCCAGATGTTAGGTATCATCCATAAATATGATACTATAGTGTTTTCCACTTTCTAACCTAGCTATGCTTTTTCCGGGTTTTAATATTCTAGTTTTTTTTATAGCTTTTTAAGCTTTTACTGGTCCTTTTATTTGACCAAAGGGTAGGCATCTAATAAAGTGTAGGCCATAGGCATATCAATTGACTTCTGGGTTATATTCCAATAACCAATCAGTTCCTGGAATAATGTTTTCCTTTTCTATTTTGGCTATATAGAATTTTACTAATTCAGTATATGTTTTCCCTCTTTTACCTAAAACTTATAGTTTTAGTTTTGTTAATTTTGTAATAGGCCCTCCTTTAAACTCTGTATTTTGAACAATATTAACTAGGATAGGTGCTAGGGTTTTCTGAGCTCTGATTCTATAAAGTGAAAATGCATGAATATTCCTATTGCTCTATTGTTAACTAGAGCCTGAGTAACAGCTTATTAATTCTTACCAATAAGTATTGTCTTGATTTAGAGTGATGATGTACCATGTAATTTCATTTTTGAGGGATACAATATATCTAAATGTCTATGCACTTAGTTAATATCTTTACTAGTTTACTAGCTAGAAAAGCATACTGATTTTCTACAAGAATCCTTCTCTTCTTATTTACTACTAATAGAAGAGTCTTTAAAAATTCTTTGATTTGCTAAATAGACTTCAATTTCATCCATACTAAGCCCTATTATGATTTGTTGGATATGGACAATTCTTTGTTTCCCTTCTTAGTCTTCTTTATCACCTCCTTCTTTTTCTTTCATAGCACACATTATATGGCATCTGGGTTAGAATCTTGGTCGGGATTAAGATGGGAATCTTTGTTTGGGCTGAAAAAAACATCTACACACTATATGTCTAGGCTTTTTGTAATAGAAGTACTTACTTTCTTTGGCAAGTTGGTTTCTTTCTTTGGGTATGAGCTTTTTGAAGTGAGTGTGGATAGTGTTAGCCTCTATTTTTGCTATGTCTATGTCTATAGGGATATATTGAGATTCTCTTTCTTGATGTGGAGATGCATAGTTCATATAATAGTAACTTAGGGTAAAAACTTGATATTTGCCTTGTTGAAGATTATGTGCTTAACTTTCTTCAATGTGCATAGCTTTGTGTTATCTGGATTTAGCCACCAGTTTGTCCTATGTGCCACTCTCTGTAGGGTTACAATAGATTCCTCTTGCTAATTCCTATTTAAGGCCTCTTAAAAAGTATATCTAAAAAGAGTGGGAGGGTAGTATTTTGCGTGGCAACACATGAAAACCACATGAGAACCCAAGTGCGAAGCACAAGGGGCCAAACCTGACAAACTGTGGCAATAGCCATGGTGAGCATGAAGCATGAGGCTAAAACAATTACTTTATTGGCCAAATTATTAATTTCTCTTCTCCTGATTAAAGCATTTTCTACACCAAAAGTCCAAAAAGGGAACTGACAAAATATGACAAAATCCATAAAGCACCAGGCAAAATATTCTGACTCTAACCATCAATGTACCTTATATTTCCAACTCAATACCTGCTAAATTTATGCATCCTGTGTATATATCTTTTACAATGGTGGAAAACTCTAAGAACATTACTCAAGTCAGATTAAAATGTCCAATAACCTATAAGAGAAGTGCAATGAAACTAATAGGAGCACATACAACAGGAGCACACACAATGGGAGCATATACAATAGAAGCAAACATAATGAGAGTATACATGATGAGAGCATATGTAATGGGAGCATACACAATAAGAGCACATATAACAAGAGCACATATAATAAGAGCACACACAATAGGAGCATATGCAATGGAAGCATATATAACAAAAGTACATGCAATAGGAGCGTATACAATAGGGGCATATATAATCAAAGCATACACAACTAGAGCACATCTAATAAGAGCATACCACATATAATAGAAGCACACCCAACCAAAGCACATTTAATAGAAGCACATGTGATGGGAATATACACAATAGGAGTATACATAATAAAAGCACACATAATGGGAGCACACTATATGTAATGGGAGCACATATAATAGGAACACACCTAACTAGAGCATATTTGATAGGGATGCATATGATAGGAGTACATACAATGGGAACACACATAATGGAAGCACATCCAACTAGAGCATATCTAACAAAAGCACACCACATACAACAAAAGCATATCCAACAAGAGCATACCCAATAAGAGCATATCCAATGAGAGCATACCCAATAAAAGCACACCTAATGTGAGCACACTCAATGAGAGCACATTCAATAAGAGCATACCTAATGAGAGCACACTCAATAAGAGGACACCTAACAAGAGCACATCTAACAAGAGCACATCCAATAGAAGCACATACAATAGTAGCATACCCAATAAGAGCACACCTAATTCAAGCACACACAATGGGAGCACATATGACAGAAGCACACATAATAAGAGCATATACAATAAAAGCATACAAAATGAGAGCATATATAATAGGTAATCAAGTCACAAGTATATAGCCAACAATAGATTCCACACAGACTACACACAGACCATACTCAGACTGTAGGTAGCCTATAATCAATGCATAGTCTGCAATTCATACAGAATATTTCAATCCTCATAGTCATTTAAAACTAAACTACAAAACTCAAATTCAACCCTAACCCCAAGAAATATTATTAAGCACTGCATCAAAGTCATGAAGCAATGGGTCAGAACTTGTCTTTTTAGTTTCTAGGTCTATTATGGCTAATTCTGTGACTTGTTCAAATAGCTAAAGGTAGGTGTTAAATAATCCCTTTCCTTGATTTAATCTGGCCAGCTTGTCCCTGGTATCCACTTGTTTGTTAAATTCTTCAAAGTCTATAGAGATTTTCTTGTAGACTGAGGTCTTGCCTATCATTTCTTTCCAGGTGTATAGAGTTTAGTTATTGTCTATATTCCTGGCTTTGATAAAGTTTCTTGACCATATGCCTGCTGATCCTCCTTTTATATAAGACAATGTATAAGTAATCTTGGTAAATTTATCTAGAAAATCCTTTTTGTAAGCAAGAATCATCAAGTCAATTAGTGAGAGGATTCTAAAACTCACTTGGAAAGAGATTTTTTGTACTGACAATAAAGTAGGAGTGTTTCTTTAAGACAGTCTACTTCTACTGGCTATTTCCCTGGATAGGTTATATATGTAAGGTTTCAGTATATGACAATTCTGATTTGTTGGTAATTTAGGCTTGGTGAGTTTGAGCCTTTCAACAAGGTCAATAAGTTTAACTATCTATAAGTCTAGTGTGGTGTAGATTTATTGGTTGAGGAATGGTTTATTGTAAAATTGGTCCTTTCTGTCTTAGGTATAGAATTCCCAAAGGATTCTGTTGTGGTAAAAGTGCTTGTTTTTCTTGTCATAATAAACATTCTCCTTATTAATGTTCTCAAATAAGTGTTTGAGGATATAGGTAGGGTTATTGTAATAAGAAAGTAGGCATTCTTTCTAGATTGTCAATACAATGGTTTATTTTATAAAGTGGAAGGAAACTTTATGTCTTCTTCCTGCTCATAGGCCTTTTTGAATAGTAGGGTCTCTTCTAATAATTTTGTTAATTGCAAGATTGATTTGATTGAGGAGCATGAGAATTTTATTAATGGTCATCCTAGTGATGAAGCTTCTAAAATACTAAGTTTTGTAGGTAAACTCTCCTCTACAGATAACTATTATGCTTTTGTAGATCTTGGTTCAGTAGAGTAAGTATCTAGTAGTATCCAGCATGCCCTGGTTCAGAGTAGTATAGATCTGGAAGATAAGTATGGCATATTGGTTTCTTTGTTCACTTTTTTTGATGAGTTTTCTTTTGATTCTTTCTAAATCAATGTTTCTGGTTATGCTTCTTTACATATTGGTAATATGTGCACTTGGAAAGTAACTAAGTCTTTTATCATCAATGTCAATGGTATTTCTTGTTCTAAAGACATTAATTCCTAGGTGTCCAACTGTAGAGATGGGGGTCATTGGATTATTGATAAAACAAAGCCTGGGGTAAGGGAATCTAAGTCTATTGATAGGGTTAAGGAAATATTTAGAATGTGCTTGTAGCTAAAATATGGCTACTCTAGTATATGTTTGTCTAATAATATACTAGAGGTGTCTCTAAGTGCCAAGCACAATACTAAACAACCTCTAGTGTAGAGGATACTAGAGCTAGTATCTGATACACAAGGAATTGTTAGTAACAACTTTATAAAGTGAGAGCACACTCAAGAGTAATAGAGAGTGTAAGATTATAGCACCCAAATGGTTTTGAGACTATACCAAACACCAACTGAATATTCAGTTGGTCATGTTAGGGATTTGGTTGATAGTGAGAAGATAGTACCATGACTGACAACTATATGATTCAAGAGCTACATGGGACTCTGATAATATATGAGGGAGGATGGGAGATACAAGCAACAAGATAAGTATAAATGTGAATGAGGCCAAATAGTGAGGATGATAAGTTTTTGAGAGATGACAAAGACAATTTCAATGGTTTAATGCAAGTGTAAATGAGCTCTAAACTATAGGGTATAAAAGCTAGTTTATTCTAGAGTTATATGTAGGTTTTTATAGTAAATGGAGCCTCTAAGTAAAATATTAAACAAGAAATGGGAGTAAGTACCAAATAGGCACCAAGACCTAGTGAACAGTAAAGATAATAAGGTAGGGGAAATGTCCATATGGGTTCTCAAGACAATAAGATAAAAGTCTATCAGCAATGACAAAATTCTAAATGTTCAGAATCTGTCATCTGAGCATAGGTAGTAAGAATAGGTGCTGGAGAGCCAATAAAAAGAAAAAAATAGTAAATGTATGACTTGGATAGCCAAGCAATAGTGTGAGATTATGTTTGATAGAACATGTAGACATCAGGATGATAAGCAATAAAAACTGACTAGGTATGGATGATATTGGCCAAATAGGCTATCCAGTTCTGATCTCATAATAGAATATTATAAGGCTCCTTATATGACTTTTGTACAGTCATAGTAATTATGTAACATATGTGTGAACTAACCTAAGTGCTGCCAAATATCATTTGGTGGCTTATAGTTATTTAGGTAGGGACTAACCATATTTAGTATGAGTCAGCATTTTTGATACTTGTCTAAAGCTATTTGGTCTCTTCCCAAAGCTTCCCAAATACCTTTTTTGGACCTTAGAGTGAGTGCCTGCTTATCACTGGTTACTAAGTATCTAGATGTGGTGATTCTTTCCATAGGAATTTCTTGGTTAATAACTAGAGTGGTGGCTCCTTGTTTCTAGGTTTCATAGTTTTGTGCTGCTTAAATGGTTCCATGACTTCTTTCTTCCAATATCTGTTGAGTGATATAAGCAAGAGATTATATTAGTTGGTGTTCTTAGATGAAAATAGGATAGGGAATAAGAGAGCTTGTTCAAGTATTAAGCTATTAGGCTTATCATATACAATAAGCACTAAAAGGGATTCCTTAGGCTATTCAAAGAGTAATGGCCCAATGAATGAAGACTATTGCTTATCTTTGGACTTGTGCAAGGAAATCTAAGTTACTGTCAATCTTATCTTCAAATAGACAGAGAAGGTGATTCTTAATGATAGAGTGGTGTTTATTAGAGATAGAACTGTCTTCCCTAATCCAACAAATAACTTGAGATAGATTCCAAGAGAGGACTCTGTATGCTATAAGTCCTTGATATATTCTAAAGATGTGAGAATGATAAAGGCTTTAAGACAAATCCAGTGCTTTGTTAGACTAAGTATGATACTTTAGATCTGGCAAAGTTCACAATGTGTAAGCTAGAAAGATAGCTGGATACCAGGCATAGTGTAAAAATCAAGTTGTATACAAAGTGAATAAGCTGAGCTTCTTAGAAGCTTATATCAGCTATTTATATGTTTAGGCTATTTAGGGCAGGGTCAAGATCTGGTCCATGCTTCTAAATACTAATCTACTCAACAGGTATCAGGACTTCTAGATGATCAAGTCCTCAATTATAATTAGCAATCCAGAGTCCATAATTTATCCATATATGGTAACTATTGCAAATGTCTGTCCACATCATTAGGAATTCAGAAACCAATCATGATTAACATTAGTAAATATCTAAGCTAAAGCTTGTGAATAAGTCATATACAGTAAGTGTTTATATATAAGCATATTAATAGTAATTGAACAAGTCCATAGTCTATGTCCTAGTTACATGTGTATCTTCTGACATTTTCCCTAGGGTAAGAATTTATACTACTAGTAAGTCTTTCTAGGGCAGTGGCAGCCTCTTTACTAATCAGTATTGTGTTTGGTAGAGATCTTGGTAGAATTGGAACTAGGTTAACCATTTCATCACTTGGTTGTTGATCTCTACCTCTTGGATATAATCTCATGTAAGTCTTGTCTCTAATAAATATTGTGATTCTAATAAGATGTGGAATTTAAGTTGTAGATTTACTAGGATCACCAGTGTTTCTATTATTAACATCCTTATTACATAGTGGACTTCTAGAGCTCCTCTATAGTAGTTGCTTCCTTGCAATATTTCCTGTTTCTTTCTTTTTGATAACTTTGGCATTCTTATCTGGAGTTTTGTTAGGAATGGGGATGACAGCAAAGAAGAGTATGGGAACTTTTAGTGATGATATTGGGTGGCTCTTGTCACCAGGTTGTCTAGTGTCTGGGTTAATAATAGCTAATATAATATTAGGGAAGGAGTTTCTCAATAGAGATAAGGAGGTGGTTCTGTCATTGATGAGCATATTATGAGTAAGAAGTGAGGAGAGGGATATAGAGGATTCTGGATTATAAGTGAGCTCAAATGTTCCTTTTATATTCTCATAACTTAAATGTTGTGGGATGAGGTTTGTTAGGGTATTGGTCATGGAAGTCTTATAGTGCTTTCTCCACTATTCCTTTTAGGAGAGCATAAGGTTCCCAAATATTGTTAGCTTCTGGGTATCTTTTCTACTTGACAAGATATTTGGTTCCTTGTCCCCATTGTTTTGAGTCTAGAATTATCTCTACTTCATAGTGTTTTTCATGATTTAATACTTTCAGCAGTGGTTTGACAAAGTTTGCACCATAGCCTTTTGAATCTTTGTATTTAATCAATATAGTTATATGAGATTTGGGATAGATTTTCTAATAATTAGGGATTTATAGTTTGTATGCCAATAGTCTAATCCTATTTAAGTTTTTGAAGGGGCCATATCTTCTTGGAGCAAGCTTGAACTTTGAGTATGTCATTCAAATATAGGTTTCTTCTAACTATACTTGGATTCTTTCTCCTTACCTTGAAAAATTTTAGTTAGAATCCTGTCTTTGGTATATTGTGCAGCTATTTATAAGGTGGCTATGGCTTCCTCTTATACTTTTGTAGTCATCTGTATTTGTTCTGCTACTACAGATACCTTAGTCTCTAGTGCTAAATTAGCTGAATAAGAAGGGTTGAAACTATATAGGACTTTAAATAGTGATTTATCAATAGTGGAATGTTTTTGTGTATTATAGGAGAATTCTAAAAATAGGAGAAGATCCATCCAATTGTCTTGGTGGTATTTGTAGAAGGTTTAAAGGAATTGTTTGATTTCTTGGTTTACCCATTCTATTTCCCTATTAGTTTGGGAATGGTATGCCATGCTAAGTGATAAGGTAATGCCTAGTTGTTTCCATAGTTTATGTATAAATTTGGCTGTAAATTATGAGCTGTGTTCCAATACTATTTTGGTTGGCAGGCTATGTCTATTAAGTACATTGTTTTGGAATAGGGCAGTGGTTTCCTCCACCATGATTGTTTTCTTGTAAGGGGTAATAATAATCCCCTTAGATAGACCTTAGTTAGCTATCACATTAATAGAGTCATAGCCCTTGCTTTCAGGTAGGTCTGTGACAAAATATATGAAGATAAAACAGTAGGGAGTATTGGTAGTTTCTAGTAGATAGATAAGAAGTTGTGTCATATATGATAAATGCTTTGTAGATTAGCATATTGCACAGCCATCTACAAATTTATGACTGGATTTTATCATGTTTTGCCACCAATAGCGTTATTGTACCAATTCTAATGTTTTAGCTCTTCTAGAATAGCCTACTACTAATATGTCATGGTATTTATTTACAATGGTTCTTCCAATAAGATCATCTTTAGGAACACATATATAGCCATTTTGTTATATGATTCTATTACCACATGTCTATTTCCCTAATGCTCCTCACATTGCTTGAGGACCATCTCTAAGCAGTTTTGTGAGGGCTATGTTAATTAGTATGTTGTGTTTTAATTGTGAGTGTCAAATGAGGGAAATAAGGTGTGAGAATGTGATTTTTGTTGCTTTGACATATATTTCTGGTTTAACTTGACCTGGATTTTATTAGAATTATTAAAAAGTTTGGATGGAACTAAAATCTGTGATTTGTTGTCAGATTCTACCCCCTCACTTAGATCTAGACACCTAGACAGAGCATCAGAATAGTTTGTAGACCCAGCTTTATAGCTGAGTGTAAAGTCAAATCTGCTCAAATAGAGACTCCAATGGGTATGTCATCGTAATAGATCATGGGGCTATTTGGAAATATTCTAGATTTTTGTGATCTGTCTAGATCTCAAAAGAGTATTGTGTACCCTTGAGGTAGTGATTGCAATGCTCTAAGGCTTTGACAATAGTGAATAGTTCCCAGTTGTAAATGTTATAATTTCTCTCTACTAGAGTAAATAGTCTAGAGAAATATGTAACAGAGCACCAATTGCTATTGAGTCCTTCTTATAATAGGATAATAATATATATAGTAAGAGATGTGTCTAATACTAGTTAGTATGGACATATTGGGTCTGGGTAAATAAGGACAGGTTAGTTAGTAAAGGATTTCTTGAACCCATCAAAAGCCTATTGACATTCTAGTAGCTAATTCTATTTTTTGTCTTTTTTGGTAAGATTGTACAGAGGATATATGATAAGTGAAAACTTATCAATAAATCTCCTGTAAAAATTGCCTAGACCTAAAAATAGTTGGATATCATAAACTATGTAAAGAATAAGCCAATCCCTGATGGTGTCAATCTTGGAGTCTTTTATAGCAATATTGATATGCTAGAGGTGGCTCTAAGTGCCAAGCATAATACCAAGACAACCTTTAGAGCAAGGGGGTGCTAGAGCTAATATCTGATACACAAGAAACCATTAGTGGTGACTTTAGAAATCAAAGGTGTACTAAGAAGCAATGGAGAGTATAAGATTATAGTGCCTGAATAGTTCCAGAACTGCGCTAAATATCAATTGAACATTTGGTTGGTCATGTTGGGGATTTGGTTAGTAATGAAAAGGTAGTGTTATGACCAACAACTATGTGCTTGAGTAGCCACATAGGACTCTGACAATATATAAGGGAAGATGAGGGGTATGAGCAAAAAGATAAGTACGAACATGAATAAGACTAAATAATGAGGATGACAAGTTTTCAAGAGTTAACAAAGATGATTTCAATGGTTGAAATAAGTGAAAATGGGCTCTGAACTGTGGGGTGTAAAAGCTGGTTTATTCTAGAGTTGTATATAGGGTTTTTATAGTAAACAGAGCCCCTAAGTAAAATATTGAAGGAGAAATAAGAGTAAATGTTGAGTAGGTACTAAGCCCTAGCAAATAGAGAAGATAAGAAGGTAGATGAGATGTTTATATGGGTTTTGAAGGTGATAAGGTAAAAGTTAACCAGCAATGGCAAACTCCCAACTGTTTAGTATTCATTATCCAAGCATCAGTAGCCTAGATAGGCATTGGAGAACCAATGAAAATAAAGAACAAGTAATATATGACTAGAATGGCTAAGTAATAGTACAAGATCATATTTGACCGACCATGCAGAAGTTGGGAAGATAAGCAAAAAGAACCGACCAACTTATAGAGGATATTAGCTAACATGTACTACTGGCTCTGATCTTATAAACATTTATTGTAATACTCTTGTGTAGTCATGGTAAGTATATAAAGTATGGGTGAACTGACCCAAGTGCTGCCAAATATCCTTGAGTGGCTTATAGTTGGTTAAGTAAGACTGATCATATTTGGTACAAGTTAGCATCTTTGGTACTTGTCTAGTGCTATTTAGTATCTTTCCAAAGCTTCCTAAATACCTCTCTCAGACCCTAGCATGAGTGCATGCTTATCAATGTGGTCTTTAGGAATTATGGACCTGAGGTGGTTCAACTTTTTCTTATAGGATTTATATTTTTCAGGTTTAAGGTAAAGATTATTGTCATATAGTATTTGAAATACTTGATTCAGAACCAAGATGTGTTCTTTCATGGTTTAGGAAAAGATGAGAATGTTATCCACATATACTATTATTTTATGTATGATGATAAGTTTTTTGAAAATCATGTTTATTATAGCTTAGAAGGTTGCTAGTAAATTGGTAAGGCCAAAAAACATTATAGTAGGCTTGAAGAGTTTTAGTAGTGTTATAAAGGTGGCCTTCTATTTGTTTTCTTTCTTGATACATATATTGTTATATGCCTACCTTGTGTCCAACTTACTGAAGATAATAACCCCTTTAGTGATATCTAATAGTTCTTGGATCAGAGGTAGGAGGCATATATTTTGGATAATATATTCATTTAGATGGCAATAATCCTGTACTGGGTATAGTTTTCTATTCTTCTTTTCTATGATGGAAAAATGGTGCTGTAGTATAAGAAGTAGACTTGTGGATAGTTTCCCTAGCAAGGTGCTGTTTAATGAATTTTCCTAATTCATCATGTTTTTAGGGCTCAATGCATAGATTTTGGGTGCTTAAGGTTTAAACATCGGTTTAAGATTAATTGTGTAGCTCCAGAAGGTATGTTTAGGGAGCCACTAAGATTACTATTCACTAAAAATATTGAGATATTCATAATAAGCTTTAGAAACCCATTCCTTTAGATTTGGGGTGGTAATTTTTTTTTTAGGTCTTAGTCAAAGCTAGCAAATCCTAAGGATTCTAGAGCAACTTTTCCAATAACTAATTCTTCTTTGACAACCTTGTTAAAGAGGCTAAATATGGTGTATGCCTTTGAGGTGTCTTACAGTTGTCTTCCTCTAAGTATACTGGCCATGCTCTTTTTTAGCTACATAGGCTTTGAGCTATTCTTATATATAACACCCCTTTTGATTATTGTACTGTTTTTCTCCCATAATCTGAGTGAATAGCCAAGTATAAAACTCTTCATAGGGTAATTGAAGACATTCTTCTCTAGTCAATTTCTGGAGAGTTATTGTAGGGTAAGATACAAGTTGTGGTTTATTTTGCTATTGGATGTGTCCACCATGCAATCTTGATAACCAGTCTTTCCTAGATAGTTCTTCCTATGCCTTGGTAAGCCCATATAGCTGCTGGCAATTCTAGGGGCACCAATCAAAATGTACTTCATGATACTTTCATCCAATGGAAGGGTCATGGCATTTTAGCCAATCTGTTCCTAGAATGATGTTGTCCTTCTCTAAATTAGTCGTGAATATTTGGACATGTTCTATATGTGTTTTTTAATAGCAATTCTGGACTATAAGATTTGTGTCAAGTCTAGATTGTATGAGTCCTGCCTAAACAATTGTGTCATTGACATTCCAGATATAGATAAGGTGGCTAAGTGAATATGTAAGAAACTTGTGTCTTTTTACCTATGTTTCATTTACTAGGATTTCTTTATATACTGAATTGATGGTTGTTTTTGCTCCACCATATTGTCTCTAAGGTGATAGGTGCATGTCAAGGTCAATAAGAGTAATAATACAACTGTTCATTGCTCTTACTTAGATACAAGATAGCAGCTCAAACTTGGGTTTTTCCTAACCTCTTTCCTTTGCTAAAGAGAAAGAGGTTAGGTAAAATCATCAACTAGCTTAATTAACAAATTTTACCTTTCTTTTTTTCTTAATACTCTAAAGACCACTCTGACTTTAGCAGTATCCCCAATAACTCTATTACCTCATTATCTATTAGGTAGTATGTAGCATTGTTAATTGTTTTGTAGGGGTTTTTGGGATGAGAAAGAGTTTGTGTGTTCCAATGAATCACTAAGTCATGATAACCACTGCTCATTATGATTAGGAATCCTCTCTACTACTTCTTGATATATTCTTGCTTGGTCTTTCATAGTGGGTCCTATGTTATCTTCATCTTCAAGATCAATCACATGACTTCTTTTCTCTGCCTTTCCCATAGATCTGCTTGAGCTTTCTTGAGCTAATTAAATGCCTCTATGTGGGGATGGACATTTGTTATTCCAATGCCCTTGTTTTCCATAGTTAAAAAATTTTAAAGGTCACTTGCTATCATATACATGCTTTTAACAAGTGGCATCCTATTTTCTAAACAGGTTAATGCCCATGTTGATGACTTAGTTGTTTATTCTATAAGGGGCATTATTAGAGTTATAGTGTAAAGCAGGTTAGAGATGAAAACAATTCAAGAAATCACTTTGAAAGAAGGTAGAGTTGACTAGGGTAGCTTTTTGAGCACTTGACGCTCTTATGTGTCTATTTGATTCACATGCTATATTAATTCATTCTTGAATTGTATTTTTAGGTAAAGTTTCTTTATTATAGATTTTATCCATAACTTAAGGGTCTAGTCTGCATTGATAATAGGGTACCTATTCTTTTTCAGAGATGTTGGTATTAGTGGCAATAAAAAGGAATTGGTTGGAGTATTTATCCATAGTCATTCTTCCTTATGAGAAGAAAATAAGAGCACTGCACACTTTATTCATCTTGCTAGATTTCTTGAACTGTAACTTAAATTTAGTCAAGAAATCTAACTAAGTTTCTAGATCCTTAGAAGTTTCTGCACCTACTATTTTAGCTAAGAAATTCTCCATCCAAGCTTCTGCCATTCCATATCTCATATATAAAAATATGAGGGAGATTTTGTCTGAATCAGTCTTGTACTTATTATGTTTTGCTATAAAAAGAAGGCAATAAAGTATAAACTTTTGAGATTCAGTGTGGTCATTCATGCAATTATCTAAGAGTTTGACTTTTTCTCTTCTAGATTGTGTAGGGATGAAAGGGTGGTGCCTGATGCTTGTCCTGATATGTTGGTAATAGTGTGTGTATTTTGGGTATTGATCAGTGTTTGATTATGCGATAAGTTGGAGTCTGAATGAAAAGTGACTTCTTCTTGCTCCAAGTTATCGAGGATTATTGTCTTAGGATCTTTATACTAAGGTAATGTGTTCCAACAGTTTTCTGTTTTATTCCAAAGGAACTCTTCCTTTGTTCTATCTTTGTAATATTCTAAAAGTCTGGAAATTTGCTTTTTATAGCAACAAATAGTCAAAATATACCTATATATCTTATATATAATATTTCACATATCTAGCCTACCCCTCTTATATATAAACAATATATTATAAGGATTATTTTGTAGTTTGAAACTCTATAAGGAGATTGTTTTCAATAACTAGCTTGTAGATCTAACTAGCAAGCCTCAAAGATAGCACAAAGTTGACTTATTACAAAAACATTATAACTTTTAAATTAAAGTAAGTGCTATTATAACTCAAGCATTAAATTTAAAAAAAATCTTTTCTTACTTAATTATGGAATCACATACTATTATTAATAACTATCTACATGACCTACTCATATAATACTATCTTTATAGTTTATATTTAGATATACTTACTTAAGATAGTCATGTAATATATGCCTGTTTACTTTTATCTATATGGTCTTATATAAAGTCAATAGTATATATAGAGTAGTAAAGCTAGAAATATATTTCCAGCTTTAAGCTGATTTTACTACTACTTTTCTAAGCTCCTCCTTCTTAAAATAATAAAGTGAGTGTCTAACAGCAGAGAGTTGTTGTTGATACAAGCTCAAAGCTTTTATAATATTGCCCACTCCCTTTACTTGCTTTACTAGATCCTTAAGACCATCAAACTATTTATTTTCTTATCTCTACACTTGCATTGCCTCACATTACTATAATTTTCAACCTCAACCTTTTTATCCAATAATCTTTGCATTTAGATGGTGATAAGCATCTCTTTATACTATGCTCTAAGCCTTCTAATTTTGCAGCTTTTATAGTATAAATCTCAGCTATGGTACAATCTTGGAATTATCAGCATAATCTTGTAGGCTTTTGTACAGCCTTGTGCATATCATCATAAGCTCTAATTCTCCTGTATAACCTCTACAATGTTTTCAAAACCTAGCAACGCTTATATAATCTTTATGGGCTTTTGTATAATCTTTTATAGCTTCTTTATTATTTCCTCTTATTATATTAGTAATATGCACCTCCAAAGGTCCTCAGTAGTCCTTGTATGACATCTACAATCTTTCTCTCAATATTATTAACCTTAGAGACCTCTATACCCTTGTGGCATTGCCTATGTAACCTCACAATCATACTAATAGTTCTTAAACTCCTTATTTCTATTCTCATTATCTTTCCAAGCTTTTTGCCACTTATGCCAAGGCCTTCCAATTTAGTGCAAGATAAATAGAGTAATGCCAAGAGTACAATTTTATACAGCCTAGAGCAGTTTTACATATCTCTAAGATTTTTGAGTTTTATCATAGTTTTGATACCAGATTTTGTTCCTCCCATCATTCAGATCTCATCTTATCCAAAATCCTCTTATATTGCTAATTATCACAAATCTCACAACTCTATAGCCTTGCAACTTTACAACCTTAGCCTTATAATATTACAACTTCAATATCACAATATTATATCAAACCTTGTAATCTTGAGTATTGTAGGACATTAAAAAGCATTACAGAGTATTATAGAGTGTCATAGAGTATTGTACCTCTTAATATATACTATACACTATCTGTTCTTTAGTTATTCCCCCAATGCTAACCATTTTTTGTACTGTAGAGCCAGCTTTCACATACTCTATGTCTAGTAGTGTATTTTATTATATGGTTTTGTACACAGAGCTATTGCTAGCACATCAATCTTTACCCCATCTATATCCTCAAATTACCAACTTAACCACTCTTCTTTTATGGTACAACTAGGGTATATACTTATATATAATACAGACTTATATCTCAGTAAAATTAAGGCGCCTAATGCCATTTAGGATTATAATAGTGGATAGCTACTCCATTTTTTGCTCTAAATAGTTAGACATATAATTTATATAAAGAAGAGTACTTTAGGGTCTAAAGTACTTCTGTTTAGTGGTCAACCTAGCTGAAGTAGGCTCTGCAACAACTGCTTTGCAGACTATATACAAGCAGTTACTCAAAGTACAATACTTTAGAATATATATTAGAAAGTGTTGTTTCAATCCTGTAATCTGACCAATCTATGCTAGTATATCCTGATTGGGCACTATAAATTTCAAAGCACTATGATCCCTACCTTGCCCTTCCTTATCTTTTAAACATACTCCTTCTCCATTAAACCCCTCCTTACATTCACTTCCTTCACTTCCTCCATATAGATTAGTAAAGATCTACAATACCTAATTTTATAAAGAATAAGTGATCTTTTTTAACAAAGACAATAATCTCAAGCACTACTACAAAAGCAGAGATCTAGTAGAAAAATTAGAAGCCCTCTTTGCCCTTCTAAAACTTCAACAACTTATAATAAAGACAAATTTTAGAATCTATCCACTGCTCTAGTTGTTCTTGCTGTCCTTACTATTGCATTTTCTATTACTATTATCATGACTAGGAAAGTTTATATTGCAAAACCTGAAGAATGGCATAAACAAGACTTGGACTAATTTTAGCACTTAGTGAGGTTATAAGTTATAACCAACAAACAAGACTTTGTGATAAATAAAAACAATATAATTTTTGCCTTTTATTTACAACCAAAGGAATAGCAGATACCTGGTGTCATGTGGTGAGACACTTCAAAGTTGGAGGGTGAAAAAAGGTCAAATTGATATACCAACTAATTTTAGAGAATTATCACCTAAACTGACTTAGGTTTTCCTTTTTCCCCAGAGCAGCTTTGTTGTTCATTGTTAAGGGTAATTTTCTGTTTATATAGTGGTACCAGTTTATCTTACTATATGAAGTTATGTGCTTTTCTAAAAAGAATAGAAAGGGAGTATCTCATATAGCAACATGTAAAAACCACGTGAGAGCCCAAGTGTAAAGTACGAGGGGCCAAACCTGACAAACTGTGGCAATAGCTATGGTGAGCATGAAGCATGGGGCTAAAACAATTACTTTATTGGCCAAATTATTAATTTCTCTTCTCCTGATTAAAGCATTTTCTACACCAAAAGTCCAAAAAGGGAACTGACAAAATATGACAAAATCCATAAAGCACCAGGCAAAATATTCTGACTCTAACCATCAATGTACCTTATATTTCCAACTCAATACCTGCTAAATTTATGCATCCTGTGTATATATCTTTTACAATGGTGGAAAACTCTAAGAACATTACTCAAGTCAGATTAAAATGTCCAATAACCTATAAGAGAAGTGCAATGAAACTAATAGGAGCACATACAACAGGAGCACACACAATAGGAGCATATACAATAGAAGCACACATAATGAGAGTATACACGATGAGAGCATATGTAATGGGAGCATACACAATAAGAGCACATATAACAAGAGCACATATAATAAGAGCACACACAATAGGAGCATATGCAATGGGAGCATATATAACAAAAGTACATGCAATAGGAGCGTATACAATAGGGGCATATATAATCAAAGCATACACAACTAGAGCACATCTAATAAGAGCATACCACATATAATAGAAGCACACCCAACCAAAGCACATTTAATAGAAGCACATGTGATGGGAATATACACAATAGGAGTATACATAATAAAAGCATACATAATGGGAGCACACTATATGTAATAGGAGCACATATAATAGGAGCACACTTAACTAGAGCATATCTGATAGGAACACATATGATAAGAATACATACAATGGGAGCACACATGATGGAAGCACTTCTAACTAGAGCATATCTAACAAAAACACACCACATATAACAAAAGCACATCTAACAAGAGCATACCCAATAAGAGCATACCCAATAAGAGCACACCCAACAAAAGCACATTCAACAAGAGCATATCCAATAGAAGCACATACAATAGTAGCATACCCAATAGGAGCACACCTAATTCAAGCACACACAATGGGAGCATATATGACAGAAGCACACACAATAAGAGCATATACAATAAAAGCATACAAAATGAGAGCACATATAATAGGTAATCAAGTCACAAGTATATAGCCAACAATAGATTCCACATAGACTATATACAGACCACACTCAGACTGTAGGTAGCCTATAATCAATGCATAGTCTGCAACTAACACAGAATATTTCAATCCTCATAGTCATTTAAAACTAAACTACAAAACTCAGATTCAACCCTAACCCCAAGAAATACTATTAAGCACTGTGCAAGAGTCACAAAGCGACAGGTCAGAACTTGTATCAAGAAGTACATGGACCTTAAGAAAACAGTTACTAGCATGCTGCAAAGTGTGTTGTTTCTATAAAGGTACTATGCATTATGATTGGTAGAGTGGCATAAAAGGTACTTCCTGAATCCAGACTCTTTTATCCAAACAAAAATCTAGAAAATGAGTGTAATGGAAAGACAAGACTAGGATGTTAGACTGATAGGTATTGAACTTGGTATTTTCAGAGCTTTCTTACTGATGCAGGTTTAGACATTTTCTAACCAGATTAGACTCAGAACTAACTTAACATTCTATTTGGACTAACACAGCTTTAAACTTATCTAAAGATACTTAATGTTAAATTTAGGGACTTTAGTGATTAGTAAAGACTATCTTACAACTATATAGACAATAATCTGCATATATTTTAGGACATATACCCTCCTCTTTTATGTGTTTCTGGAGAGGCTGTGCATGCGACTTGGTTTTGAGTTTTTACAGATGTATCTAGATGCTAAAGATTTTAGATTAAAGTATCTGGTTTAAACTAGAATAGAGTAGGCTTTCCTAGATTCCTCTAGAGCATGGCCTAGAATTATTCTAGATTCTCTATTGGTTGCCTGACTAGCTCTAGGTTTTCCAGCCTCTTAATTCCTCATTCACTCCCTAAGCCATTACAAAGCCTCTCAATGTATTAGAAAGCACATAAAGTCTATGTGGTTTTGTAAGAGTCTAGATTAGTTTGACTCTACTTTGATCTCTCTTAGGTTTTATTCAGTCTATTAAAATAGTACTAAGATAGCTTTATTAATGAATATAGATACTTAAGCCCTTAGTAAGTCAAGGTTTAATAAAAGACAACTACATATATCCACAAATATAGATCAAAATGTCCATCCACATCTTAAGCATAAAACTAGAGCCAAGTGAGAGTGCAATGTCTAAAACATAAGGGCTGTATAATTTTAGATAAAAAAAATAAACAAGAAACACTGGAATAAAGAAATATAAAATTAACAAATTATAAATGGATAAAGTGTTCATGGCCTAGCAAATTGATGAAAGATCATACCTCCTACTCTAGCTAACACTTGCCTTGCAATCTCCAAGACATTGCTATTAGATATAGAAACACATTCACAGTCAAAGCTGAAGAGAGCTCAAATGTACTTACCAAATGTGTGGTATATTGCACAACCAAGTGGGAGAGGGGAGTTGACATAAAAGGTAAATATTACCACTATAAACTGCTGCTTGTTGCTTGCTCTATCAAAGATGGTAATACAATTGTCTTGCTAGACCATTTTGGAAAGAATAATAATTATAAACTCATAGTTATCATCTAACTTTTTTTTAATTATGTCTACCAAATCCCTATCTTCCAACCAAATCATCCTTTTTCTAGGAAAGACACAGACTTTTATCAATACTCCTCTAGCTAAGACTGGTGACAAGCAAATTCTATCTTTAGCAAGAGAAATTGATATTGTTGGTGGCTCATTTAAAGGTAATAGAGCTAGAAGAGTATTGGAGGTGACATTGATATAGTATGTGGGTTTATAGGAAATGGTTATAAATAAGTAAGGTGGTAGGGAGATAGAGAATACATTAAGCAAGTCAGATTGTGGATCTAATGGGACAATTAGTAGATGGAAGTCCAGTAGTAGCTATTGAAGCTCTGTGTGGTAATAAAGATAGAACAGTGATTAAGGGAATATATCCTAGAGTAATGAGCATGTAGAGGTGTTGTTGGATATGATGTGAGTAATGCATAGATGTAACCACCAGCAGTTCTTGAATTATCTTGCTTCCTAATTTCCTATTCTTTTTTACTATTCCTTGCTCTGGTCTAGACTTGCACAGTCATTTTTTTTTATGGAATTATCTTGAAAATTATCCTGCCAAGACACAAGCTTGTTTGTGTCATAATACTAGATACATAATTATATTAATGAAAACTTAGGACATGATCTTGTCAATTAGGAAACCTAGGTAGAATTTGAGAAGCTCAAGTCTACCTTTGCCAATCCTAATTAACAAATAGCATAAGCAGGCTAATAAAACTTTCTTAGAAGAACTCAATAACAGAAGAGTTCTTTTTATAATTTGATATCTAATCAAGGTTAGCAAAGTATAATACAGACTACAACCACTTTCTAATTAATCTAATTAAACAAAACATAAAGTTCAGGCTAATTAAAAAGGTTTACTCATTTGGCTTATTGTTTATAACTCTTAAGAAATATGGAGAATATATAATAATGTTGGATACTTTGGAAAGAAAGCTTGCATTGGCCAATAGGAACTTTGGTTTTGGAAATTCTATAAATGGCTTTTTTATGCTAAACTAGAAACAACTAGTTGAAAAAACAGAGAGAACACTCAAGCAATAGTTAACTCTAGTATACATACAAAGAAATAGCACTGGTACTATTTATAAGGAATGTGGACAGCTAATAAATATAAAGAAGGCCTATTATAAGAAACTGTGTTTTGATTATAGTAAAAAAGGCTATTTATCACATAATTGTTTAAAGCCACAGACGTTTACTAGGACCTATATAAGGTGGGTTATTAATGGACTATTATAATATAATTGTAAGATTCTTTTGGCTAAGCTAGGTTTTTCTTAGGGTTAGTAAGCAAATAGTCTATAATTCCACTAATTCTTATATAACCTCTATTTATTAAGAATTATATATTTATTGCATATTTAAATTACACTATTTAACTAGATAGGACTATGAATATGAGAGAGAGAAATTGAAACCCTAGCAAAAAAGTTAAGTATTATAAAACAACTTAAAATGCATAGAGTATATTATTAAGTTATAAAAAAACCCATTAATAAGCTTATAGTGGATGGCCAGATCTAATTCAATAACTAGAGAGACTTTATAGTAAAAGCTTTGTTAGATTTAGATTATACTAGCACAACATTGTCAAATAAATTTGCCAGAAAAAATAATATCAGCACCAAAAAAAATTATTAGACTAAACTAGGAAAGACCAATAATGGACTATATTAAAATAAAGCTTACTAAAAATAACCATAAGAAATGGATAAATATAGCAATAGCCAAACTTGGCAAAACTAATTTTTTTATTAGGTATAAATGGCTTAAATACTATAGTCCTGATATTAATTAGTAAGAAGGCTATATTAAATTTGCTTATTATTCTCCTTCTTATAGATATTATTATTTAAATAGGCCAATATCTATAGAAGAACTAGTAAATAAATCCTAGAAAGACCCACTCTTTGATACTCAAATAATTAATATTAATAAAGACAAAGCAGAAGTTAAAACTCTCAAAAACCAAAAACCAGCTTATATTGCTAACTATATCAATATTTTTAATAAAAAGAGTTTTGAATTCCTTCTAGAGCATTAACTATATGATTATATTATTAAACTCATATCTGACTTTAAACTGTTTTATAGAAAGGTTTTTTTATCTTAGCTCATATAAGTACCAAGCAATAAAAGAGTTTGTTAAAGAAAACTTAAAAAGTGGCCAGATTGGACTGTCAACATTACTCTAAGCTTTGTCTTTCTTCTTTGCTAGAAAAAATAATAGTAGTCTATGCTTAAAACAAGACTACAGAGAACTTTATAAATTCACAGTCAAAAATAAATATCCAATTCCTAATTCCTGGATGCTAATGAATAGAGTTAAAGATACCATAATCTTTTTAAAGTTTAATATATAATAGGAATATCTAAATATCTATATGAAAGAAGGAGAAAAATAGAGAACCATATTTATAACTAAGCTTGGAGTATTTGAACCTATTACTATATTTTTTGAATTATGCAATTCTTCAGCAACTCTCTAAAAATTTATAAATAATATTTTCAAGAATAAATATGTATACTTCACAATTATAATCTATATAGATGATATTCTTGTCTTCTCAAAAGACTACAAAACTCATTATACAACAATATAACATATCATGCAAAGACTTTGTAAAAATTATCAATATCTAAAGTTCAAGAAATATATCTTTGATATATGGAAAGTGGAATTTATAAGTCTCATTGTGGAAAATAGGCAAATATGCATAGATCTAAAGAAAGTTGCTATAACTATAGAATAGCTAGTTTTCAAAATAGTTAAAGGTATTCAATCTTTAAATAGGTTTTGCTATTTTTATTAGTACTTTATAAAGGATTATAGTAAAATTATGCACTCATTAACTCAATTAACTAGGAAAGTAGAATAGACTTGGAGTCTAAAACAAGAAAAAGTATTTGAAATACTAAAATATGCTATTTTTATATCTAAAAATCACTTCTTTATATTATACTCTAATTAGTTTCATTTATGCCTAATTAAGAATGATTAGGATTAAGGATTATTTGCTTACCCCCTTCTAAACCTGTTAAAATTAAACATGATTTTCCTAAATTAGGAATTATTAGAATTGATTATAACTTGAAATTTTGGAAAAATAATAATAAATTGAGTATTATAGTTCTCATAGACTTCTTATAGAGTTATATTTATTAGAGCACTAGTCAAATACCTAAATATAGAATGTACCTTATAACAAATTTACCTCTTACTAGAGTTAAACCAACAATCTTATATATAAAGGCATCCAGGATAGATGCTCTAAACTACTAAGCTATAAAGTCTAATATATTGACTTGGTAATCTAAATAAGTCAATAGAATATAGGCAATCTCAATATCTGTGATATTATTCAATATTTATCTTTCCTCTATTTTATAAATAAATAAGTTAGTAAATACTCAAAAAGTCAGGTCTTTTAGAATTTAGTTTAAATACTAGCTAAGAAAATAATAAACCAATAAAAAATAAAAAATATACCTTATATAAGGTAAAAACAAATTATGGCACTTATATGTTTTGGATCTAGAACGTGTAAAAGTATAATAAGATAGATACTTTACCTCCACTAAATATTATTAATAATATCAAGAAATACAAATCCAAAAGAAATCATGGACTTGAAGATATACTAAGAAAAATTAAAGTATTTGGCATACTAAAAAAGATGCCTTATTAAGAAAAGGATTTAAAACCCTATTAAGAACCTATCAAACTTCTAAGAGTATATTGACAAGTTCTATATAAAATATCCTTTTATTTCTTAATATATCAATACTTTACAAATATATTCTCATAAGATTATATATAATAATATTTCTCAAAAACCCATGCTTTTTGACTAAACTGATAATAAGCTAAAAGAACTTAAAGTAGGATTGTGGATCATCCTCTTAAAAATAAGATAATATTATAACTCAAGCATAAAAATTTTTTTTTTTTACTTTTTTTACTTCTTACTTAATTATAGGATCACATACTATTATCAATAACAACCATCTACTTATATAATACTATCTCATAGTTTATATTTAGTATACCTACTTAAAGTAGTCATATAATATATGCTTGCTTGCTTTTAGCTATGTAGTTTATATTGTTAAACTAGTAGGCTTATTATATGCACTAAGCACTTAAAGGGGTTCTATAAGCTATTTGAATTATAAGAGCCTAACAAATAAAGACAATAAATTGTTTTGGGGCATATAAAAGGAATTCTAGGTTACTATTGGCCTTGTCTTCAAAGATATATAAAAGATAATCTTTAAGAATATCATAATATTCTTTGGGCATATGATTGTCTTCTTCTATCTAATAGATAACTTAAGAAGGGATCTAACTAAAAGCTCTATGCACTATAAGTCCTTCATATATTATAGAGATGAGAGAGTAATAAAGGCTGTGAAATAAATCTAATACTTTATTAGACTAGGTATAATTTCTCAGATCTAACAAAGTTTGCAATATGTAAGTTAGGAAGGTAGTCAAATACTAGATGCAGTGTAAAGATCAAGTGTATACAAAGTAAATAAGCTAAGCTTCTTGGAAGCTTATCTCAGCTATTAATATGTATAAGCTATATAGGGCTAGACCTGGATCTAGTCTGTGCTTCTAAAGACTAATTTACTTGACAGATATTAAGTACCAAGGCCAATCATGATTTATAAGTTATAATCTATAGTCTATCCATTTATAGTAATCATAATCAAATGTCTGTCTATATTATTAGGAATTAGAAACTAATCATAATTATTATTAGTAAGCATTTATGCTAAAGCATATAAATATATAAATATTGTAATTATTCATGTATTAGCATATTAATAGTAATTAAACATAAGTCATAGTCTATATCTAAGCCACAAGCATATCACTTGACCAACCTCCTAGCTTATATACAAAGGATATATTAGAGTATAGTCTTAACAATATATAAAGTTAATGGTATATATAGAGTAGTATAGCTGGTAATATATCCCTAGCTTTAAGCTAGTTTTATCTTTACTTCTTTAAGCTTCTTCTTCTTTCTAAGATAATAGGATAAGTATCTAATAACAAAGAGTTATTATTAACAAATATATAACTGGTATTTGTGAGTTATTAGCCTTTTATATATTTGTGGTTGCATATCTTTTAGGCACATAGTAGTAGAAATAATTACACTATATGTAGATATTTATGTTGCCTAGCTACTAATGTCTATGATTTTCTGGATTCAAAGTAAAGAAACCAATATATAGTGCCTAATCTTATAAAAGACATTGATAAGAGAGTTTTGGTATATCATAGTATCTATGTGGAATAGCTAGGACAGAGTTTGACAAGGGCAAACCCCTATTCTAAATATTATTGTAAATAGGTATACAGTGCTTTTTTAGAAAGGCATAACACTCTTAAGGCAGTTTGGTAAGATATTCACAATCTTTCAGTACTACTACTATACTAAGCCTCTGGTAAAAGATCAATTTTGTTAGATATAACCCTTAATCATACAAGCATGTTTGCTCTTTATAATCTGTTGATGCTATAATACATAGAATAATCTAAATAAATATTCACTGCCAGAGCCTAGTATGATACTAGACTCTAACTCAGATACTAATAGTATTAGTAATAATAATTTTATTAAGGCAGATTCTTAAATAGGATTTCTAGAATTGAAGGCCTTGGATCTCAATAATATAGAGCTTAACATAGATTTGTATAAAAATTTAGATAGTTTTAATATTAAGAAGATTAGCCTTATAAATATTGTCTTTCACTACTCTAAATAAATACTAATTAACAAATTATAATAATCCATTGTTTTTGATAATGCTATAAGGATTTTGAGAGCAAAAGCGTTATGATCATGACTTATTAGGCCTTTATAGTGGTCTATGCTAATATGATCATCACAACTATCAAGCAACCTCACATCATAAGGCTTATACTAAGGTACAGGTATTATTCTTGGTTATCCACTCTCAGTGGATGCATTTGTCACTGGTCAAGTATCATAAGACATTGCATGGGTGGCTGATATGGGCTCATATATACATACTCATAGGGCACAGAGCCCCTTGCCCTCCTCATCAGAAGGAGACAAGCGTAGAAGCAAGAGTAGTCATTCTTGGAGAGTAATAACTTAGAGGATATCTATGGTATACATATATGGTATTCTCACACTCTTCCCAAAGTAGTATAAAAGGCCTATAGAATAGGCTAAGGATCTTTAGTCTATTCTCTTTGTTTAGTATTGTCTTTCTACAATACTTCTTTACTCTACAGCAGTCCTCATACTGTGGTCTTGCAATATCATTGGCTCCTATACTATATATACAGTCAAGACCATTATTTTACTCTTTCTCATTGAGTAACCTAGGGAAAAACCTCTTACTCTTGGGGTTACCAAACAAGCAGTTTGTAATACTAAAATAGACTCTTCTGCCCCTACCTTGCTTGAGCTCTAGCTTGCTGCCACACTCTTTCTCACAACCTTACTTAGTAGGGATATAGACCCCTATTAAGAAAGTGTTACTGCATACACTCTGGAGCAAGACCTAGGGCAGAACTATCTTCTTGATGCTACATATATAAACAACTAGTTTCATCATAATAATCACCCTATCCAACAAGAAGGGAACCTTTGGTTCTATATAGACACTAACACAAACACTCTACCAAATTATGATAACTGCTCATACAGAAATGGGCATTATTATTTTACTTACCTTGATGGAATAGAAAAAGAGTTTCTTAAGAACAAAACAGAGAATCATTAGGATCCATTACCCTGGTACAGAGATCCAGCACTAGTAATCTCCAATGAATTGGAGCAGGAAGAATCCACCTCCCATTCAGACTCTAACTTATTACCTAATCAAATACCAATCAATACCTAAAACCAACCACTTACCAACATGTCAGGACAAGCATTAGCTTCTATAAATACCCCTTCTATAACAGTACAACCCAGAAGAGGGAAGGTCAAACTCCTAGACAACTACACAGGTGACTGCATTGAATCCCAGAAATTCATGCTCCAATGCCTCCTTTTCTTTGTAGCAAAATCTGACAGGTATAAGACCAATCAAGACAAAATTTTCCTTGTGCTTTCATGCATGAGGGATGGCATGGCAAGAGCCTGGGCAGAAAAGTTTCTCTTCAAAATGGTGGGAGTGGACCCCCCTACAGACTTAGGCACCTAGGCAAACCTCCTAACCAAGTTCAAGTTACAGTTCAGAGAAACTAGGAAAACTAAAAAAGTGTTGATATGCTAGTGATGCTTCTGAGTGCAAAACACACCCAAGAAACACCCCTACAAGTGAAGGTAGGCAGGAGCTGGTTCTAGTGTGCAAGGAACTATAAGTT